CCGTTAAGCCGTTCCTAGAATTTTGATGACCGTGGCACCACGTCCCAAATGTGGCCCTTACTCCAAACAGCCAACTGTTTACCTCGGCACCCTGGGGTTCTGTCACAATTGTGGGGACAAGATTTGTCAACAGTCATTTGCCAGCAGAAAAGCTCCCCAACATCACAGAGTTTAGGTTCCAAAGGAAGCTCTAGGCTTGTTAGTTTTGAATCGCATCTCCGAAGAAGCAAGAAAATCTTGTTGACAGTCCAAAGCCGCCTGCATCTTTAGATAAGGACTCGCAGATGAAAGAGCGCTTCAGACATTTTATTAGTTCTTATGAAGACGTTATAACTGCTCGTGGCGATCTATCAATCAGAAATCATCAGCCATGCCTTCAGCGATCTCCGCGCTACACTACTGGAGAGTATAACACTGCCATCAAAGGAAACTTTAAATGATCCCTTGCGAGCTATAAAACCATAAGGCACTGCAGTCGAGGGTGAAAATAGAGTGAATCGTCAAGATACAAGGAAAGGGAAGATAAAGTCGCTCCAGGAAACGACCTTTTTGTCCTCTAGAATATGTCATTCTGACTCATGTAATTGGCATTACAAAGGCAGGTTCATGTCTACACATTCAAACTCCAGTCTGAAGTCATCCAAGGCGGAGATCAGTTAACTTTTAGAGGTATGAAATGCGAGCAATGACCCCATGGAAAGTTTCCTGAGATTTTTACTACAGAAGAGTGGGATGATCAAGAAACGTTTGCTGTATGACGGCGCCTCAAAAAAAGGTTATATATATTTCATACTGTGTGGGTGGAAGTAGATATATTTCCTATTTTTGCACTGATTTCCACTTTATCTAGACGTTGCATAATTGCAGTCCTCTAGACTGTGGTCCTTATGACCTACTAGTATGTTATGCAATCTCTCGCTGTCGGGGACTTTTGTAATTTGCAGACCTTTGAGGGCAAAATCGTGACGGCTTCTGATTGGCCCTCAAGGTCTGATCGCACAGTCGCCACATTTTTGACCCCAAATACCTGGTGGGGATTCCTAATTGTCGGGCGCTTCACTAAAAGTGCCATTTAGTCAATATATTTACAAATGGGCAGTCCATATACTACTAGTATGTAGTTCTAAAACGTATCCTCGATGTGACCGATGCAGACTGAGCGTACAACAACTGGCATTTCCCCCGACATGCAGAGACTGATATATCTTACTGTACATGAGTAGCCATATTTGTATGTATGATATCCAGCAAATTATCTTGCACATATGGAAAAACTACATACTCTTCACTCACCAAATTCCATTCTGGCCCATTATAAAAACTGTGGTGGGACATAAAATTGGTGCATTAAGAATCATGTGATTGGATAGTGTAAGGAACCATACATGCATCACGTGCACAGACATCTGTTCTTATGTAGAAAATGTTGGGGGGGGGGGTAGATCAAGTAGTTAAAATAAAATTACATGGTAATAAAAGACGTGTCATAGATGACCACTTTATTGATACCATGTGTCCTCAAAAATTTGTTCTCATATAATATATAATGCTGACTTCCTTTCTAAAACATATTGCATGTAAATGTGCAGCAATATGCTAAATTCCAAGTAGTAAAATCAAACTGCACATAGGTACAATCCCATCATATATATCATTGGTACCCACTACCAGCTGAAGATACTGTACGTCCTCAAGCATGTACTGCAGTGTATGATACAAATGTTTTAAAAATGCTTCCATTAAGTCTAGGAATGCAACATGTCTGACACTAACAACTGCATCTTGAAGGACTGTAAAACAATTATAAAAATCTAAGAGAAAGACTTGCTACAAAGCCTAAGCTGTGGATTTTCTAGCTTGCCTGAGCTGCACTGACTTGTGGTTTCCAGCCTTCAGCTAAGTATATTGTTGACAATTGTGATACAAGTGCTCAAATATGGTGTTTCCCAAAACCATCCAGGGTAGTTCGGTTATAACCAAAGTTTTAAATGTAATATTTAAAAACAACAATGACAAAATGATTATAAACTTGTATCAGGTGTTTTCATTAGATTTTCATCAGCAGGAAATATTTTCAAACACTGCAATCTGATTAATATTAGTCCTGAAACTCAATAGGCAACTTTATATTATATAAGGCACAAACAAACAAAAACACTTTTATTAAGGAAATAGATATTGTAAATGCAGATATAGTTATTCATCCTACACTAAAATATATGTTTTCTTGGTCTTGACACAATTCTAGAAAAATCCAAAGATCTTCCAAGAACAGCTCCTTTAGAGTGTTATAACTAAGTTTTATCTTACTACACATACTTGAATAATTTGTGTCTATTGATATGATGTGATGGCTCAGTTAGGGCTCTCTCCTCTAAACAATTCTTGTTTAAGGTCATCGATGACCGAGTCTGTTGTTTCCCTGTGGCCTGGACGTGGTAGTGAGCCTGTCATCATACAGGGAGCTGCTAGAGGGCTCCGGGTACTGAAGGTGTGTCTCCTCTGTCTCTGGAGCCCGGCTGGGCTGGGCCAGTTCTGTCTGGCATGTTCTGTGAATGATGTGATCAAACCCTTCCATCTCACTATGTTGGGATATTTCTCTGCTGGGATGGTAATGCCCTGTAGTGCGAGGAACACGTCCAGGTCTAGTTTGGTTGGCTGGTCCCCATCTATGTAAAAGGCTTTTGGTGGTCCACCTTTTCTACAAGGGGTGCACAAGTCTGTACT